TTGAGTTGATGTAATTGTATGCTCCTTTTTCCCTGACCACAAACTTACCAAATATATTGTATCAAAAAGTGTCTGAAGTCTTTTTCTCATCCTAGTAAAGCCTGGTTCTTTGAGGAGAGAATACTTGTTTAGAGGCATCCTGTTTAGGAGCACAGAATGTGTTTCAGCTGAATTGATCCAACAGCTGGTTGTCACTGTTACTGGGAAGTCCTAATCTCCCTTCCATTTTCCTTGGCTTTGTTCTTAGCTTTAGAGCATATGAAATCCTTCAGTGGGCCTAAATAGGCAGAGAAGTAATAGAATATATGGGTTTTTTTGCAGCATAATTGAATAGAATTAGCTCGTGAAAGCCACTGATAGGCACTGGAACTTGTGCAGGGGAGAGAAGAGTAGGACTTACCCCATTTGGGAGCAGCAAATTGAGAGACAAAGAGAAAAGCTGTAAGTAATAATTTGAGTTGTGAATTGAAATATATTGACAGAACACTTTGAAAGAAGCCTTTTGTACCTCTTCTGAGGCTTATATAATGCAGCCTAGCATTTTATGCTGTCGGTAACAAAGTATGTATGGCAACATGCCTTTCTAGTGAACTGTTTCCTTCTAATCTGGATATTTATAGGTATAGATGGGAAAGCAGGTACCTGAGCATGTACCGATTCTGAGAAATGAAATAAAACCAGGAGAAAAAGTAGAAGGAAGATTAGCTATGTATTTTTCCCTTCTTCCTGTTAAGAATTAGTAAGTAGAGAGATAATAATAAATTACTTCACTTTATGACTCATGGCACCATGAGAACATAAGTGGATCATAAGTAATACGTAATAATGTATTTCAGACAGATTTTATTGGTCTTTCTCATGCTGAGAGCTAGATCTGAAATTAGAGTACAGAAAATGAAATTATTCCTCTAGAAAACTTTCTTGTAGAAGCTTTTATAAAGCATTGCATTGCTGAGACATGAATGTACAAACCAGCTGATACTGTGGGTATAACTGTTGTCTGTGTTAAGACAGTATCTGTTTGCCAGAGGTCATTTTATCAAAGGAATTCAGATGCGCAAGAGAAGATGAGGTTTTTTTTTCCCTGACATCACACATATCTGAGTGTGGATCACAATGAATTTGCTCTAGTTTTGCACTACTCTGGATGCTGTGTGTAGGTAGTTACATAGAGTGTGTGTATGCTGCATTGTTTGAGCTAGTACACCTCAAACTCTCAGCACAACTAGTGTGGCACTGCTATCATAGCTCTGTTTCTGAAGGGGCTGATACCTATATAGCTCACAGTAGAAAGGTAGGTTTATTCATCCACATGTACAGATACTCCCTGGGGTGCTGGTAGCACGAGCAAGGTGGACCTAAGCAAGACTTGATGCCCTCAGTGTACTTAGAGGTTATACCACACTCCCCTTCTATCCTGCTTGCAGGGGTGCATAGGACAAATGTAAAGCACCCCTGCTCTGTTAGAACTTCTCATGATGTTAGGGCAGAGTTTGTTTGCTATTTAGAAAGTCTTTTTCATTAATTCCCCCTTGGAGAATCCTCATACCTATCCATATTTGTAAGATTCCTCATTCTTTGAAGTTTTTTTTATTATCCTCCAGATATTTCTCCTTTATCAGTTTAATGTACTTCGATGGAGAATTTCAGCACAACTTTTTTTGTTTTTTTAATGGCACACAGATCTAGATAACAACTAAAAGTATTGTTGACGTTATTGAGTATTATATTTACTAACTTTATATTGGCAAGGTATGAAAGTCTTTGATCATGCGTAAGGTCCACTGTGAGATACTGTACCGCACAACATAAGTACCTTAAGCATATGAAACTAAGCAACAAATGAGTGACACCTTCTACTTGTAAACAATAGAAGTTCAAATAAAAAAAGAATAGAATAAAATAATAAAAAAAAACCTAATAAAACACCATTAGTCAGTAGGCGGAGACAACTGGTTTCACATAAAAATAATTTTTTTAAAATGCTATCACGATTTTTATGGCCATTAAAGAGTATTTTAACGAGGGATTTTATCCCTTATATATCAATAAAAAAAGTAACTTTTTGGTTGCATACACTGGTCAGTTCTTGCAATTATAGCTGGAATTTAGTTTGCTTATAAGTTAGAATAAAGAAGTTGCCACTCAGGAAAAATAACGGAATATGTAAATCAAGTACTAAACAAAAGTAATCGCAATATCCAAGATGTCAGTGATGTTCTTGTCCTTGAGGCTAGGTCAGAGAAAAGGAATTTTACTGAACTACAGTCTTCCGTAGTGACAGTGGGAAAAACAGAAAGGCAGGCAGAAAGACAGAGATAGGATTTGGAGGAAATACTAAAATAAAATAGCAGGACTAGATAGAAGGGAAGTCACCGTTTCTCAGCAAGTTACAAGAACTGTTTGCTAAGGATGTACACAAGTATTTGTGATCTTATGTATTTGCATAATCAGGAAATCTTTTATGAGGAGGGCACTTCCTGAATTACAGTGTATATATATCAGTAAAACGGAGCTGAGGGAAGTAAAGGCTTTGATGAAGACAAGTATTGTGCTCTTAAATCTTGTGAAGATCCTATCTGTGGTAAGACTGTGACTTGGCATGGTGGGAGGAAAATAGATGGGATTTTTGTGTCTGGGATTTTTACCCCTTAAAGGCTTAGTGAGAGAGTCCATTGTGATACTGGTCTTGAAATTGAATGACTGTATGCTGCAGTTATCTTTTCGTCTGTAACAGTCCGTTTGCATTAGCAAATCTCTCTGCATCACTGTATTCACACTGATGCAAAAAGGTGCTGATATAGGAAAACTTAATTTCAGGCTCCAGATATGAAGACTAACAGTGCTGCCAGCAGAGGGTTAATTTGGCCAGAGTTTGTACCTGTTTTAGTCTGAAAAGGTGGATCCAAAAAACTGCAAACCCCATAGTCACTTATTATCATCCTATTAATTCTTTTCCTATGTATCTCTGACACTGCCAGAGCAGTTGTATTTGTTTTCCAAGAGATACTTACGGATTCTCACATACATATATATATAAAAAAATATATATAACGTATCTGGAACTGTGAAACCCTTGAAAATCATGATGTATATTTTCTCTCTTGTTGATCATGGATTCTGTGATCTACCATGGTTTTTAATTTTTGTGTCTTTACTCAAAACATTTTATCAACTTTACAGTTGGTAGGTGTCTTACTGTGCAGAGAGAATTGCTGTTCAAAGAGAAATGAGAAAAACTTTTCATTAATTCTAATTGACCTGATCCTGCTGTTGCCAATTTGAATGGCTGAGCTTTCATAGCTCTTCCAGAACAGAAAAGAAAGGACTGCTGAGGAGAGATGGGCTCTTTCTCATAAGGAAAAATAAGCGCTTCTTTAAGTTTAGGCTTACCAACTTAGGAAGGAAGGCTTTAAACTAGAATTAATGGGGACTGATGACAAAAGAATGTGTTACCAGTGGAAAGGTGACCAGAGGCATAGTAACCGTGGATATAGCGTTTTTATAAAAAGGATTGAAGCAATATGGAAAACAGGGTAGTGAATATGTCTGTTTAACATTTAAGATGTCTATACTAGTGCAGGCTGTATGGAAACTAAATGGAAGAATGTACAAGGTTCTAGACAAAGTTGTGATTTAGGCAACGTAAAAGTTTACTTGGTGGAATATTTCATTTGTTAATGAATTAATACAGAAAAAAAGTGGAGGTGCTCCTGAAGAAAAGGGGAGGGAAGATACGTTTCTCTATGAATATTTACCTTTGTACTGAAGTCTAGAATATAGAGGGAGATAATCTGTTAAAAATATCTTTATGATAATAAGAGGAGAAAAAAGCCTGAGTGCTGTTATGTTGAGAACCTACCATTAAGACCAAGAAGGATAAGATGGAAAGAGTATTTTTGTAAACAACTGACAGACTAATTTGCCTTGAGGAGATACTAGTTAACCAAATATTTGTTGGGAAAAATAAATTGAATACAGAGTATCAGGGTATTTTTAGACTAGGATGATGTCAGGTTTTGATACAGAAGGTGGAGGTTAATACAAGAATTTTCTTACAAGGTTTTCAAGATTTTTTAGGATGGAAAAGAGGAAGAATAGAAAAAAGCAACTACAAGAAATTCAAAGATCTGTTTGCAAAATCCTATGAAAAAAATCTAGGAAAAAGGTGCTCAGGAGTTTGGCAGTTCATAAAAATGCATATATTTAAGATGGTTGCAGGATATCCTAATACGGTTTTCAAGAAGGAAGCATAATGGAAATAGCTAGAATTGTCCCTAAAGAGGAGTCACCTTGGACTTTTGTGCTTTTTGGAAAGTTAAAAGCACAAAAATGAGAGATGAGGAGGAAGAGCTGTCGAAGATAATAAAATAACCCAAAAGTTCCTTATTGCTTATGATAGTAAACAAGAAGTTTCTTACTGATATAAGGGAGGACCAAGGAAAATTTTGGTCTATGACCTCCATGCAGAGAGTAATAAATTATGTCAGTGAAGGTATAACGTTCACTTAAAACATCAATGGCAACGGGCAGTGGATAAAGCTCAGATTACGACAGGGAAAACGTGATTGATAGCTCTTACGCAAGCTACCTGCGTTCAGTGGGCTACGCCTACCAGCATTAACACTAGGCTCTTGGAGAAACGGCTGAAGCTATCTTCAAGTTACCTGTAGTGTTTAGAACTCAGTGCAGTCCCATAAGGCTCTAGAAATGGTACTAGCAAAGTAACTTTTAACAAAAAGTCAGCTAAGTGATACCAAAGAATTATAGGGCAATAAGCTTAATCTCAGTTTCCTAGAAGTTCAGAAGTCCATAATCAAACATGGAATATATCAAGGAAATAAGGAGGGGAAAAAAAAAAGAGAGAGAGATCATTACAAACACTGTGTATTACACAAACCTCGTTTCCTTTTTATGACTGGGTGGCAACATTTAACACCTGTGTGCCTCAAAACAAGGAATCATAGTCTATATTAAATTATTTTGAGGGAAGAGTAAAGATGGGTGGAAAACTACTTGGAGAGCAGTTAACAATGAAGTCTATTGCTATTCTTTATTTTCATAACGTGGTGGAGTTAGAGAAGATCCAGAAGAGAGTGACTGAAATGATCATGGAGATGGAAGAGCTGCCTAATAGGGAGAGACTAAAAAGGCTGGGACCTTCAGCTTGGAGAGGGGAACACGTGTTTGTTATTGCTCAAATCCCACAATACGGAAATGTAGGAGGCCTTACAGGAGCTAGTAGGAGATCTGTTTAGGGCTGAGAAGTGCTCTTTGTTTTAACCAGCAAGCAGTAAACTTAGGAGATTGGGGAGCATCAACAGGTTCAGAAAAGACTTTGTCTAAGTCATGGAGTTTTTCATGGAATGAAAACTAAAGGGAAGAGGCTATTTCCTCTAGCATCTCTCATCCAACAGTTATTTGTGCTTGTAAAGTATGAAAGGTGTAACCTGGAAACAGTAGCCAGGCTATGCTCTCCCTTATAATTTCTTAAAGTCCTGTCGGAGAAAAAACCCTGGGCTGGATGTACTGCTGGTCTCGCCTAGCAGGGCATTTCCTGTGTAGTTCGGTCCATTGCGGGAGGGTAAAATGTAACGGTTCTGTTGCAGCAAGAGTGATTTAGGCTTGTGAAAACCTTTTTAACAACAATAATATGTAAGCAGGGAAATGGGTTGCCAAAGAAGTTCTGGAACCTCAACTGTTTTTGTGGTTGTAAAAGTAGATTATGCAACCAGCCAAAACTGTAATTTAAATATATTAGGTCCTTAGCATAGGTAAAGGAACCAGATGACCTCTGTTTTTTTTTTTCCCCAAGTATTTGATGGTTCAGACTCTATCTCATTGTCATGTTGTGTCTTAGGGTTCATGTGATACATGAATAATGTTAAATCGAAATGTGGAAATTGTCAGACCTTTCTGTTGTAGTTTAGTGAAGAAGAATTTTTTGCATTGCATCAGATTTCTGCACAATGGTACTGCACTAAATGCCATTAGTGTTACTATGTAGAAGAAAATGAGTCACTTCCCTGGACTCTATAACATAACTGAGCACATATCGGAATTGACATTCTTTTGTTTCAATGTTTTTCTTGTCTTCTCTGGACTAATCTATTTCAGGTTTATTAAATGGAGAACCAGGCATTTGAAATGCATGGAGAGAGCATACAAAATTCTTCACAAGGAAAAGAGTGGTCAAAGAAAGAGGTACCAGTCATTTTCTTTTACAGTGCTATCAAAATATTATTAACAGAGTCAGTCTGAAGATTAAACCCTTATTTTGTAATATGACCTAATCCTATACTATTAAGAAGGTCCTGAAGAAAAGAAAAGCTGTAAAGGGCTTCAGTTGCTAAGGTCCTAAAATGCATAGCTCCATGTGCACTAGCTAGGATCTGAACTGTGAGACACAATTCCCTGGCCCCACTTAAGTTAATAGCTAAATTCTTTATCCTCTAAATACTGGACAAAGTAATTATCCTTGGAGGATTCCCCATTGATTTTAACAGAAAGAGCTACTTAAAAGCTCATCTTGTGGTAATGTTTAGTATCTCTACTGAGTAACACATTAGAGTACTCTTTCATCTTTTCTTTTTTTTTTTTTTGCCCTTGAGAAAAATAATTCTCTGTAATTTTCCCATTAAAGTTTTTGCTTCTTGGGATTTGAATTAACTTCATGGAGTTGGCATATCGCTCATAAGCCATTACATTTGTTTGCAGTCAGCACAGTGCTGCTTCTTGGCTATAAATATACCAAGGCTAGTGATTTCCTCACAACATAACTCACTCCACACAGTTGTGCTGAGGTTGAATGTTCTGTATTAGTTATTATTATGTAATATGTACAGCATTCTTTTGACTTTAAAAATAATTATTGAATTGGTGCCACTGCTGTGAAAACGCCGTAAATTAAAGGTCCTTCAAATCTGGAAAATTGAGCTTTTGAATGCATTTAACTATAAAGCCTTGTTTTCTGATGAGACTTTGTGGTCTGAGTACTACTGTTGTGATATTTAATTGAACACAAGCTTTAAAAAGGGATTCATTTAAACTGAAGAAAAGATTATTACCGAATAGAATAGGGTGATATTTTGAGCACTTTTCTGCTGGCAAGAGAAATGTATTTGTAAAGAGCTTTTGTCAAATAGATTAATGAAAAAGGTAATTTTGTTCAAATCAGCAAATAATCTTCAATTTTTTCATTTCTGATTGTCCAGCTTAAGAAATCAACATTCATAAGTCATTTTCAGGCACTCACCATCTGAAAAAACAGGCTTTTAAAGGTAGATCAAGCTGTGCACCCAGAATCGGTAGAGTTTTAAAATTTGGGCCAGAGAATGCAGTCTCTATTCATCTGAAGCTGCAACTTCAGCAGCAAAAATGGTTAAGGGACAGGAAACACTGAATATCCTCTCCAAGGTGATGCTTCATGGTGCCAGAAGTGCCTTGGCCTTCTATAAAGAACTTGTGAGCTTCTGCGTGCCCAGCTGCTTCTCCCCTTCACCTTCCTTCAGAGGCCTGAATGTCCACAAAGGAAATTTTCAGTAAGGAAATGATGCCCAGAGCAGTTAGTACAGACGAAATTTCCCCATTCTGGCCTGTCTTCTCCACTGCCAGGGAGCTGGGCCATGCGAGATGTGACGTAAATTAGAGGCAGCATTTCTGCTTCAGAGATGAAGGTTTGCCATGAGTTGATGCTACAGGTCTTCAGTGTTTTGTGATATAGATTAGAAACTGCAATGAAAAAAATCTTCAAGCGTTTGTCAGACCCTAGGATGATAAAAACGTGCTTTTACTTGATGAAATAATGAAAGGACAGCAACAATCTGATAACATACTCTGTAAGGTTTTCCCTGTACTGGGCCCAGTAATTTGGCTATACCTGTGTTTCTGAAAGGCATACTGTTTTGATTACAAAAGAACTATCACAAACTTTCTCCTGTGTGTGTTAGATCTAATAAAGCTTTCTTTGGGGGGGGCTTTTTATTAATTTCAGGAAAGAAAGGGCAGCTGGTCCCTAATGAAAGTCTTTCTAGTTTGTCTATTGGCCTGTGTTATCACCACCGCAATAGGAGTGCTGGCCCTGTCCTTGGTCTATGTAAAGAACACTGCCTTTATGAAAGAGACGGATATTAAAAACAATGGTGCATCTTTCCCAAAACCGGATGAAAAAAGTGTGGATATCAAATTCCAGTTCCTGAATCAGCTGGGGAAATCAAAGGTAAATTGTTCATCTTGTGCAATAATATTCTAGCATCATACATAGAAGTTTAATGAATTAATTTCACCTAACTCTTTTTTAAGCATTATGTGATCAGTCTAAACCTGTTATCCAGGCTTTTTTTATAATCTGTGGGGAGAGACACAAACTTCCTGACAGCATTTCACTCCAATTTATAACAGATGTTGGAAGTGGTATGGATCTCTGGAGTGCCTCTTGGAGAGCTAAATAATTGCTCCAACAAATTAGGCTTGCAAGACAAGGCAACCATTTTATGTATGATTCTGAAATTACAGAGTATGAAATTCTGAAAAAACAAAACCAGAAAGATCAAATTTTAATGTAAGCTGAGTAGCACATAACCTTTTTGTTCTTAGGACTGGATTCAAACAAATTGTTATGTTGCAAGAAAAAAATGAACTCCATGATCTTGTTTCAGTAAGCTACAATTATTTAATTGACAATGTAATGAAGCCCTCGGAATTATGTAGTTTTTGTTTAGGTGTATTTTGGTACTTATAGAAACATATCCTTTGAGCAAACTCTAAAGACATACTCCATCTTTTAAATATATCTTTATATAAAAATAATTCCTGATTGATTTTTGCTTTTCAGCAAAAGAGGGAAAAGGATAGATTAGATAGTAGGGCATTTTAAACTGACAACAGCCATTCTAGTACTTTTTCATGTTAGATTTAACTATGTAATTAATTTTCAAACAAAAAAAGTTTTTAAGAATGCAAACAAAAGTGTTTAAGAGGAGAGTAACCCTTTTAATATGCCCTTCCTCAGTACAAAATGATTCTTTCAAGTACAAAACATGTTCTAGAGGCAGTACAAATATTGGGAAATGAATAGTTTCAGATGCAAATAGTTTGCAACTAGAAAATTCAGGAAATTCAGGAAAATGTCTTACTCGGGAAATGTTCTAAATGTTTTGAATCTAAAAGTTTAAGCATATATGTAACTGATTTCCCAAACCAAACTCCAGAATGATGTAAAAAGAGGAGGAGCAGATAATTTTGTTCTTGATATCACTATTTACCTCTCGTTTGTAGAAACAATATTTTTACATCATCACATGAGAAAGTATATAAATGATTGTGAAAAGTGACTAAAATACATACAGAGAGAATCCTTACTCAGAAAAGGAATAGGTCCCTTCAGTATTGCCCAGACCAAGAATTTTCTGAAATATTTTTGGATTGTTTGGTCACCACTGTCCAGAATTAATACAATTCTCCACTTTCACTAACTTTACAGGTATATAACTACCCAGGTGGTGAAATTCAGTGGGCAAGATTCAGGAAGGATGTAAATGAATATCAAAGTGATGAAGAAATGGAATTTGGAAAAAGTATCAATAACCGTCGCTCCAAAATGACTTTTGGAACCTTACGGATCAAAAGCAAAGGGCTTCGGGCTCCCCATTGGCATTTTAATGCCAATGAACATGGCTACCTGCTACAGGTATTACCTGATTATTTCAGCTTTCCCAATTGGTTTTGCAGTTTAAAGCATCACGTATATATAGAAGATGTACATATGTAAAAAAAATTACATATACATTATATACAAATGTTAACAGATAATAAAAGCAAAATTACCATTGATTGATGTATGACATTAGTTTTCTTGCTTGAAATAACATTTTCAAATGGAGATGCTTGAAATAGGCTGTTTAATGTTACTTGCAAGAGTACCAAACACATGTAGCTTCCAATGAAGTATAAAAACTGAGGTCAGAGGAGACTTTGGATACCTGAAAGTTGCAGAATTTTACGTACTTATCCAAGTGCTGACAATTATTAAAGTAATTATATTAGAGAACCATCGCAGAATCACAGAGATGAAGGACTATTAAGTTTCTTCAGAAAGCTTCTGGCTCCATCCCCTGTATTGATGCAGGATAAGAACATCTGAAGCATATCTGACAGTTTTGTTCAGTTTTTAAAAAATTTTCAACAAAGGAGCTACTACAAAATCAAAAAATAGTTGTCTCCCATGTTTCATCACACAAACCATTAGATTTGTGTAGCATTGTGCTGGTACACAAACCACGTTTTTGTTTATTGCAAAAAAAAAAAATCCTAATTTCTCCTTGTTTATATCCATTGGCTGTGGAGACCCTCAAATCATCTTTCTTTCTCACAACTTTTTATACATGGAAGACTGTTTTGTTCCCATACAGTCTCCTTTTTTCTAGACCAAATTTCCCTCCCTTTCCCATCCCAAATAAATCTTCTTTGAAAAGGTTTGCCCTATCTCACCTGTGTGTCAAATTTCAAATCTGTAAAAATAAAGAAAATAAAGGAGATAAATAGAAATTCACCGTGAGGAATTCAGGATAGCATATTGATTTGACAACAAAATGATCTTTCTTTGGAAGCATAGGTACTTAGATATATCTCAATTATTAATTTATTTCTAAGAATAATTATTCATATTTTGATCAGCATAGAACTGAACAGCTCCAGCTAGAGGGGAGATCCTCCTTGGAGTAAGGCATTCCACAAACACCTGGTCCTCTCTCCAACAGTTTTGGTCAAATATGACTCCTTTATAGCTGTTCACAGCCTCTTTAATAAGAAACGGTTTGATTATGAGCAATGTGTATTTGTCATGTGTTCCTTAAACGTTCTAAAATTTTGTCACTTAAAATGCTATTCTGGATTTAAGTTCACAAAGGCTTGTTAGAGAGTGCATCAGGATCTGTTTTTTCCTAACAGCCTTCAGGTTATTTGAATTATTGATTTCCCGCATATGGATTAAATGAGAAAACTTTCATTACGATCGTTAAGTTCTCATTATGTTACAGGGTACTGCCTGGATTGGAGTAATTGGTGCAGATGACAGCGTGGTTACCACATACAATGTCACGGCTGGTCAAGTGATCTTCTTCCCTAGAAACACTGTGCATTGGATAAAGAATGTAGGATCAGAAGACTGTGTGTTCTTGCTGTTTTTTACAACACATGAAGAACTTCAGACCTTGGATGTAGATGACGCGTTTTTCTCTACCCCAGAGGATGTAGCAGCTAGAGCATTAAAGGTGTGTATGATAGGATAGCCAGCCTCTATCTAGTCTTCTGCACATTAACATGGCAGTCCAGTCTCTCTCTATATTTCTTGGAGAGGATCCTCCCTACCTCAGCTGTTCTCTTGAGTCCATCAGTGCAGAAGGGTGTACACGTCCTTTGTGTAACACTGTGCCTCCCTATGCGTTCCTTTATACACAAGGAGAAATAAATGATGATGCTTTCTCCAAGAAACTTTTTTTCCTCCACTCTTCACATTTATCCCCAGTTCGTGGAGGATCCTCCATATTTCCAAGGGTGGAAGGGAAAATAATACAGTGAAGCCCAAAGCTAATTTCCCAATAGACCCTTGATGAATTCTGTGGTATGAGAAGGTCTCATAGGAAACTATAGATAAGTCCATCTCCTTGTTAAAATGGATCTTATTTGAACTGACTAGTTGGCAATATATCCCTTGAACAAGGGACAGACTTTCTGCTGAGTCTGAGGAATTTGCATGTTCAAACCACAGAGTTGTGATAGACCTTCCCATCCTGAAACAGTTTGGTGGGAGATGGATTGAGTTTCCCTTCTGCTCCAAATCTCTGTGGTAACTGAGAAGGAAGGGCAGAGCAAAGGAGCAAAATAGAGTATTGACAGGGCGAGGCAATTAAAGAGATGAGGTATGTCCACAAGGCAGAAGTTGTCTACCACCAGGTACTAAGGTGGGATATTCAGTGAAGCAAAATTTTAATTCCTCAGTTTGCTGTGTGTCTCTGTCAACTTAATAAGCATTGTGTGTTCTGCAGCCACAAGGTGGAGTTAACTTCATCAGAACATTCAAGAAACAAGTAGAAGATCAAGCAGTTAACCTCCCACCAAACTTAGATGAGCTTGTACAAAATGCCACCTACGTGCAGTCTCCGGACAACCTTGTATGGCAGTACTTCTACAATCTCAAAGGTATACCTCTAGGAACTTTGTATGTAAGAGCTCTCCATGTTTCTAGTGGGGGAGAGGCGTGGATCTGTAATTGATTCACTGAAACAGGAGTTAAAAAGTATATAGAGGAATTATAAGAATTTAAGGAGATAAAATGAAAAATATATTCATAATACATCTAATTACCGCCCTTTGAAGATGTATAACCTGATTCTTATCTCAAAGTATTTTACCATTTTGATTTTAATGTTTCTGTCTGCAACAGTAGATATGAAAGCAGAATGCCAGTAAGCAGCAGGGCATGAATTAAATACTTCCCAGCTCAAGGTTCTCTACAGATGTATGTAACCAGGACTGGTGTGTTCCCTGCTACAGTTAAATTGAGTAACAACCTAAACCTAAACTTTTCATTCAGAAATTAAAATCTAATAGGCCAGGAAGCCCTGCAGCAGATTAGCTGGAGAGTGACTGGTGCTGAGCTTCTTAGAATATCTTGCATTTGCATATGAAACATCAATGAATAAACACCTTAACATATACCTAATTATGTCCTCCCTTTTCTTTTACAAATACAACTTCATCAACAGCATTGAACCATATTCACTGTTTCATTTATCAACAATTGTATTAAGCAACCCTCCGTACAGCCTGGCTCTAGTGATTATCAGTGAGCACCTAATAAACAGAGATGGCAAAACTTAATTCCAAGCAGTATAGTCTATTCAAAAAGCTATAAAAGCAAATATAAGTCCAGAGCTCCACACACAGCTGGTGGAGGTCATGAGAAATAGATGTGTGACAAAAATCTTTGTACTTGGACCAAAATGTTCTTCTGCATTGGCAGTACTTTACAAAATATTGTGACATGCAATCAGTGCCATAAAGGTTAACATGAATTAATATACTGAAAATTAGCATGTTTTTAAAGTGTATTGTTATTGATAGCAATTTGGGATGAAAAAAATCTAGTTGGAGTTTTTCATTATGATTATCTGACTACAGAAAAATACAGTAAAGGAGATTGCATAGTGTCTAGTGCATGAAGGATAGATAAGCTAAATGGGCTTTCTTTTTGGTTCTAGAGGCTCATAAGAGTCGAGGCCTCAAGTTTAGTACGTAGTAATGACTTGAAGTTGGCCAATACACTAACAAGCAATGTTAACCAAACCTTGTTGGAAATGCTCATTTAGCTGTCTTTGTTTTAGGGTCAGCAGAATATCCTTTTCCAGGAGGAATCTTCCAGTGGGCTCGCTACCGCATAAATGGCACTGGACTAAATGAAACAGAAAAAATCTTTAGTGAGGCATTGAACAAGGTATGTGCTTTCAATTGGATACTGAAGCTATTTAAACATAAGGCATAATATGCAATTTGTGTGGGTTCATCACTGCTTTGTCATGTATAACAGGGATATAACAAACTTGGATGGTTTTCTGAACATTTCTGTTCTGCTTTTCAGCATGAAAATACCCTTACCTTAGCAACTCTCAGGATATTCAGCAATGGACTGGGGCAGCCTCATTTCCACTTCAATGCTAATGAGATGGGTTATGTCATTAGCGGCTGTGGACAGGTAATTTGTTATATCGGTGAGGGATAAGTCAGTGGAGTTTTGGCTGTATAACAATTACACCCCTAATAACCGATTCCCAGCCCTGATTAATAATACTGCAATTAGTAGCATTACAAAACTTTCAGTGTCTGCACTTTCCTTCTCCGTACAAAATTTTGATTTGTTAGATTTGTGGAAGCTTGTCTAGTCAAAGTGGAGTTACACAAAGAGCAGAATTTGTCCATCTGGTTAAGTTGTTCAGTAAAATCACACATGCTTATTACAGGACTCCCCACTCTCCTGAAAGCTGGGAGTACAAAATAAAAAGGCAATACTTCTGATTTAGCACCTCTGAGGAACAGATAAATAGAGAAAATTTAGTGAGTATTAAGATTTAGAGTGCAGGATTTTATTATGTTTTTCACTCGGTGCAAAGGTAATTGAGATGGACTGATGAGACTCCATAATGTGAGGACTTACCATGTTCTTACTCAGGAATTTGCCTAGGATCCCTCTACCTGTTTGGAGTCTCAGTGAAAGCACTGATGCTACACTGGCTGATTTCAGTGCAGTGCTGGGACCGTCACTGTGTATTTATCCAATAACAGCACACTGAAAATTGTTGTTGTTGAACATTGCTGCTTTACTTGCAATAGGTTGGAGTTATTCTCTCATCTGGAGTCACCGCCAACTTTAATATTGACATTGGAGATGTCATATTTTTCCCAGTTGGAACTCAACATTATATCAAGAGCGTGTGTGAGGAGGATTTGTTTTTGATTCTAGCCTACAGTACAGGGAACCAGGTGAGAATTCATATGGGCAAGGGGAGTAAAAAAATGGTTCAACTGTACATAATCTTATGCTTTTCTCATGCACGTAAGCTTTATGCTTTGGTGCGCACCTTTCAAAAGAAATTCTAAGAATACGTCAAGTACACTGACAGTGCAAATTCCCTTCTGGTGTGAATGGTTGGCATGCAACACTTATCAAAACCCTGTACACGGAAACAGGAGGTGGGGAAGACAAAGAAAAGGTCTGTGGTAGGGTGTGACGTGCTCCCGTGTGTGTGTGTGTGTGCATATGTACGTGTGTGTAAGGGAGATGGAATTCAGATCGTGTTTGTGCATGAGGTACTGCTGGTGTTTAAGAGACGGGGCTTGTCCTTGAGCAGACTGGACGGGCCGCGGGTCTTTACAAGCTGAGCACCCACAAAAGGGTGAGATCTTCGTAAGCCTTGGACAAATCTATATCCTAGGAGCCAGAGCAAGGGTGTATTTTTCTAAGATTACACATATCTAGTGATTTTGATAGCCCAGTGTAAGACTTGTCATTAGTTATATACTTTTATATTAATTCATTTTCATCTTGGATTTGAGGTGCACTTTAATATTCTGTATTATTAATATTGTAAAAATGATCAGGTAGCTGTGATTATTCTTTTTAAAATACTGTCTTTTTCTTCATAGCTGGAAACTCTTCGTATGAATGACTACTTCCATGGAACAGCAGATCATATCCTTGCTCAGCTTTTTTTCAAGGAACAGGCTGAGTTTAAGAAGTTCCCAAAGGCTGCCAAAAAATTAGGCAAATAACTTCTCCTAGCAGTTAATGGCTCCGAGAATTTCTCATGATCACCATGTTTCTAGAAGTACTTTTTGGTACTTTTCTCACTAGTTATCCAGAGGAGATATTCAGAAAAAAGAAGAACTTGGGGTTATTAATTATAAAAAGTTATTTTCTTTTTGTATTTTATCATGTTTTATTTATAGTGCAATGTAATTTGATTGTAAATTAAAGCAATTTCTACCATTACAACTGCCTTTTGCTCCGTATAACATGCATTATCCCACCGTATCTCTTCCCTCGCACTGCTGAAGTTTGCATTGATTTCCTGTCTTGTAGACAGCACTCTTACCTAGCAGTGCCTACACACAAATACGGCGTGTTTACACAGCTCGGTCTGTCCCCAAACCAGGTATTGTGCTGTAAGCCCTGCATCTAACAGTGATGGCAGAATGAGCTCATCATACATTCAGGTCACATTCACTCTCCCTCCCCCACTGCAGTCCCCTCAGTGGGGCACTGCGTTAGAATTTAAAACCCCTAACTCCTTTTCCTGACTTTGCCACCAAACCGCTATCTGATTTTGAAAGAAACATTTGAGGCTAGATTCTTAGCAGAATGTAGACTCAGTAGCGGACAAGCTCTGGGTTAGGCACCTGTGCTTCCATGCAAAAGGAGGGGAGAGATAAGCCCAAACAAACTGGGCCAAAAAGAAGCAAAGATGATTTCCCAGACTGTCATCTATGCCATTTTTTTGTGACCCTCAGGTTCCCGTTCCTTCCTGTGTAAATATTTAATTACAGCCAACAGGATGGCTGCAGCAGGGAGGCAAGGAGATCTTTCTCTGTTTCCCATGGGTTAGGGCATGGTGGTTTTTTGGTCTCAGGAAATACTTGCTTAGTTCATGGGGTTTAAATCAAATCAGGATCAAAGTGGTTTACCGATTTATTATCAACACGTAATAAACAAGGATTCAGTGAAATACACAGTTGGGATTCAATTTCATTGCTTATCAAGGCTCTTGGTAATCCCCTGGCTACTCTTTAATCCGGCTGAAGGTCATCTTCAGCTTTATCGGTTTGGGGCAAACATCCCATCAGCTCGTGGTACTCCACTTGCTGCCACACTCCCCTTCCTCCCACACCGCCGGGGCTGCAGAGCAGAGGGAGCGGCTGTGCGGGTCCTGCACAACCCTCTTCTCAAACACGCTCCCCAGCTGCCTCTGCTGCCTCTCCCTGAGGATTTTGTGAAGCCGCTTGGTAGCCATGCTCAGGCTGGGCCTTGCAGACCAGACAGGAGAGGGAATGCCCGGGCTGCGGACCCCAACAGGGCTGAAGCATTGACTTGTTCATTGCTTTGAAGAAAAGATACTGCATGCGTGTCCGGGAGGAGAAATTTCACTGTCACATAATTAACCTGCAGCCCAGTGTTGGTTTTAAAGGCCAGAAACAATGCTGAAAATAGGAATTGGACATAAAAGGCTTGATAGGACCTAGCTTAGGACACCGCTGTCCCAGAGGGACCTGCCTCGTCCCCTGTCCCCCCAGAGCTCCCAAGAGCAGTATTTCTTCTGTGCCGTGTTCTCACTGGTCACCGCCTGGCCTTGACCCCAACCTCACAGACAGTACCAGGGCTGGATAAGCCCTCTAAGTCATGCTGCACCCCAAGGCGTGGAGACCTGGTTTACTGTTAGGTTATTAAGTGCTTTCAGGTGTTAGGAGAGAAACAGGCTGGTTTCTCAGGTGCTGGGAATCAATCAGCCCAAGGCTCTGGTTTAAAACAATTCAGCTGGGACAAGGAGGGTTTAAATGCTGGGTTCTCAGTTAAGATGCTCTGTAGGAGATCTGGAGGCACCTACCAGGTAGGGGAGATGATCTTCTTGGCAGATGGGAAAAGGCAGCTTGCTGCGGAACAGGGAAGTGGGTTTTGTTCTGCTGTTGTCACGTTCCTTTGCTGTGCTGGAATAACAGACTGAAAGCTGCGGTCTCTTACCTCAGTGGCTGTGATGGCTCTTGTCCTCTGCCCTCCTGAGCCCTGTGGTCCCAAGGTCATGGTGTTCAGAAGTTGCTCATAGGCACCCACCAGATATTTCAGTGCCTGGTTTTGGCCGGTGTTCTCAGCTGTGTGCTCCTGGGGCTGGGTCTGACCTGTGACCCACTGCTCGGCAGGTTTGGTTTGTCTCTTGGGTCTTTTTTTATTTGGCATGCTGCTTTTATTCGGTGTTGTATTTGACTGCAAGCTACTCTTTAAAACATAACTTGATAGATTCAGGCCCCTTACCCAGGGAGATGCTATTATTACCGGTGTAGAGCAGGACAGTGACTGTCAGTAAAAGGGGGTGTCATGTTGATTAGAAAGGGAATATCTAAAAGTGTTAAAAGCCTGGAATTTCTAATTGTATTTTTCCAGCTGATCTTTGAGTCCCCGGATCCTGAGAGGCACAGAAGGGTGCCATTGGTGTGTGCCACATCAGCAAACCAGGGGAAATGTTTATATACTACCTTTCATCAATCTATTTGGCTCTACTAACTACTTCATTAAGACTCGCAAGCAGTGGGGTTCGGGTACCAGCACTCCTGTAGGTATGTTTCTAGAGCCCTGAGGGAAATGTGGTTGTCTAGCAGTCTCTTCCTATTTGGGTATAAACATCTTGCTCCACCTGCTTTACTCTGTGCCGGCCTGCTTAAAACCCCGTGCACTGCGAGCAGGGTGAATGCACGCTGGAGAACCTCTTGGGAGGGCCGTGCAGTGAGATGCATTGCTGTCATTTCTCACGCCGTAATGAAATGATCATTGCCTCGCGTGTCCAAATCAATCAGGTTAACAGCCTGCGAAATGCACTTTCCAAAAGCGATTACTGCCCCGTCGGCTGCTGCAGCTGTGCCCTCATGCTTCAAAAGCAGGCTCACGTTTGTGAACACTTTATTTTTGTTTGTTTTTACGAAGTAGCTAGTGTGTTTTTTCAGACTTTTTTTTTCAATTAAGTTTTGGTCTACTAATTGCAGGCTGATCCTCCAGCTGAGTGAAGTGCTTTTTGCTTAGCTGTAAGTGCGTATCCAGGTGGACTGACTTCAGTATCCGATTTACAGATGTGCTGGTTTTAATTCTCCTTTAACTTTTACTGATACTGATAACCCAGTTATTCTCACCATAGCTTCTTTAGGTGTCAATCAACCTTTGGGCTGGCATCAACTCTGTCTTCAGCTGACCACAGTGAGATTTAATACTGTGCTGAATCGTGTTTCTTGTCCCGTCTCCTGGATTCAGAATCCAAGCAAATGGTCGGAGCACAAGTGCCAGATCCCCAGTTTGTCTTAGGTTGTCTAAACCAGTGAACTTTCATTAATGAGCCCAGAACCTTGTCTAAAGACCTGATAAAGATCCAGATACCCTCTGATTTAGTCCTGCTTTTAGGGCCTGAAACTGCTGCTTGTACTGTATTTGAAATATAAGAGTAAGATGTGTTGTTAGGTGCTAGGAGCTACTGAGACACGAGGTTATAAAATAGCCCTGTCTGACGGAATATATAGTTGTTGCCGTATGTTGTACAGCGCTGGACCACTGTCACCCCTATAACTCTTGGTATTATTCCAGGCCATTAATATTGCAGCTTTGCAAATAACGTTTGGCCTGTAAGAGCAATATATTCAGTGAGTGATGAAATACTCTCCTCTCTTGCTTTCTTTTTGATTAGTAAATTAACTAGATTCCCCCCACCAGCCCTGCCCCAGTACTGCAGGCCCAAGATGAAAGGACTAAGACGTCGTGAGGTCTGGTTCTTAAAAAAGATGAGACTTGCTTCTAAAGTTTCCTTTATCTTTTCCAAGCCTTTTTCCTATTTACTCAGAGGGCGATTGGTCAGATTTTGTTCAAAAAGGCTTTCTAGTCATGAAGTTCTTGAATTGACATGGGTGAGATGGGCACCCGACCATCTGTGCTGAACTTTGTCCAAAGAGATGAGGACCAAGCTTCTCAGCTCTGAAGAACAAAAAGGTGGAAAGCGATAGGAATTGCAGAACTTCAATACAGGGAGTTCTCACGCTTGGTTCTGCTTTCCTCTTTCTTTTAACTCTAACTCATGTTTAAGGGATTTGCTTTAAGTCAACACAAAGAAATATAAGTAAATTGAGAGAATTCTGCTTGGTCTTTTAGTTTTGGTTCCTACCTTCAATTTGTGGTGCTGCTTTATCGCCTACCCATCAGGAGATGTCCTGCATGTCGGGAGCAAGGGCCGGGAGCCGCGAGGGCACCCTGCGACGGGGGTTGGAGACGTGCTTGCTGCAGATGCGAAACACAACGGCCTTGCTGCGAGCGCAGGCTAGCTAGCTTGGGATCTCAAATGCAGATGTGCAATGCATAGCTGTCTCCTAAAGTCACCTGTATTGCAAAACCCGGGGAGGACCCTCATTTTGGTCACTGGGAGAATGGGAACTTGGCGGCTCTGGCTTTCTCAGGGTATTCCTGCAGTACAACAGGGTGATTCACCTGAAGCCAGAGGTGCTCTTCAGGGCAGTAAGTCCATCCCTGGATACGCTCTGAAAATAACATGTAAAACATTGATTGAAACAGCAGTACTTAAAGAATAAAGGCGGTGTTGCATCCCATGAGAAATATGAATTATAGCAGATAATATTTCTTACCTTGGAAACTATAGAGGTCTATTCAGCATCTTTGGGTAATTGTAATCAGAAGCAGTAATAAAATGAGTGGGACACTTGCAATACCAAATTAATTCACAAAATGCCATGTGTGACTTATTAGCAGTGTACAGCCACCTCGAGGGTTTGCACTACCCATTCAAGAGAAATGTGTAATGTTTTCCCGTGGGTGAAATCAGCCTCATGTTGAGGAAGCAACAAGAGGATGGGAATTTTAGAAGCCCTTTAAAGCATCTTTTTAAGCAAGTCTGGAGATTCAATCAGCCCACCAGCCCTGTGCATGTGAAACTTGTTCAGAGTAAATTGTCTGACTCATTTAAGTGACAAACCCCGATGTGATCACCTGCTGTGAGCCCTAAGCAATCCTGGGGAGAGTGAAGCTTCAAATCTGCTCGGAGGTGACCAAGCTGGTTCCCTGGCTCAGGGGATGGTTGGTGTTGGGGTCACCCAGGAGAAGCTTGAGGCTGCCACAGGGACGGGGCTCCTGGGTTTCCTTGGGCAGCCTGAGTCCTGTTTTGGCCGTTGGTTTGGTCGGTTTGTCATCTGGGCTGCCCCCCGCTTCCCCCTTGGGGAAATCCCCTTTCCTGCCCCATCTCATGCCAAGCCGTCCCCGGAGGTGGCCAATGTCACACTAAGCAGGTTTTATAGCAGAGGATGCAATAGGGTTTCTGTGACCAGCTGCCATAACCAAAGGGTTCACGTACCCCATAAAATGCTCTGCAGTGGTTTTTTGCTTGGGTGGGTTTATCCTTTTTCCAGGTGTGGCACAGCATGTTGTCCTCGAAAGCACACGTTTTACAGCCCGGAAAGGCTTTAGTCCCAATGGAGTTTGACCAGTTTCCTCATACAGAAAATTATTGTAAAAACTTGATGATGGTAAGAGATTAGCACAGGACTATTCGGAGGCTTTTAAGCTCCTTGAATCCACCAACCGTTCATGGCTCGGTGCCACGGCTCGCTGCCCACAGGAGCGCGCCTTGCCAGTTGTGCAAGAGCTTCGTAAGGCTCACGGGTTGCATCTGCCTGGGTCAGCAGAGCTGCTGAGTGGGGAGATGCGACTTCTTCACCCAGCGCGTGGGCTGGAAAGCTGCTCGGGGAGGGCATCTCAGCCCCAGAGGCTGTTCCCACCAGGGCTTGAGGAACCTCCCAAAACCCCCATGTTGTCACTCTCAGCAGGGACGATTGCTGGCAGCCTGATGCGATGGAGGCGAAGTGTAGGAAAACATTGCAACGTGGCTTAAAAAAAAAACCCCAAAGCAACAAAACCCCCAAACCCCAACTAATAAAAATCCTAAAGCTGTTGAAACTTTTTTACTAATTCTTGAAGAAGTATCAGAGTTTGTGTGTATTCATGCAGCTGTGCTGTAGACTCTCCTTTTGTTTGTTTTCTGATGTTTAACAGATAAACAGTCCCACCTTACTAATATTGCCATTATGATGAGTAACCTGCACTGTTCCTCTGCACGGAGCCTGCGTCATGTTCTACGAACGTGCACACACACAAACATCTCCTGCAACACTTTCTGTTGAGATCTCACCAGCTAAAAAGCATGACAGAGCTTGGTAGGATCTCAAGAGGTCTCAATGCAGGATAATTTAATAATTAAACCCAATCTGTACATCTCAGTCCTGTACCTTCCTTCTCATGACAACAGGCTGTTATGACTCGGGTGAGTTTTATAGATCCCAAAGGACAAAAGGAAATTTCCTGCATTTTATTGTACGTTCTGATCACAGCCAAGTTAGAAATGGTGAGAAATCTTTATCTTTCTCTAGCAATGCAAATGCAGCCAAACAGAAAACCCAGCCCACGCCCTGACCCCGGACGACCTGCGCAGTAATGTGTCATCTCAGAAGCTGAAGGATCCTTTGAAGGCAAGCCAGGGTTTGTTGGATCTGAGTTAGTTTTTGAGGGCTGCGTAGCTGGAAATAGCTTACCTTCTTTTATAGAATGATATTGCTGATTATAGGGGTGGCATCCCTTTGTAGCCCAGGGTTATCCATTCCCCCAGCCGGGGACTTCCCGGCACCCTCAGAGGTACCTGCCAAGTCCTTGTGGGTTTATGGGCTGTCGTTAGCCTGGGCAAGCAGGACGCGTTCGAGGTGAGCGCAGGCAGCGCCACCGGCCGCCTCCAGCAGCTCAAGGGTGAGCGCAGGCAGCGCCCCCGGCCGCCTCCAGCAGCTCCATGGCAGAGACGGGTTTCCGTGGATGGGTCAATGCAGGTGGCTTTTAGGGTAGCGATGTCTGGAGTGGGGGGGACCCTCTGTTTGAAGAGTAGCAAAATGCACACTGAAATGAAAAGGAAACTTTTCCGTTCAATCGCCTGCCCCAAAGGAGTCGGGGACGCTGCTTATTTCCCTCTTCAGTCAGGCGGGAATGTACAAATCGAGCAGCAGCAGAGATATGGGCAAGTATTGGATATGGTAATCAAATAGACAAACTGGGCTTTTTTGTGAAGATGTGTGTTTTTCAGTGTGTTCATTTTAGAAACAATACAGGACTTAACAAATGATGAACTGACTGTGCTTTATAGAAGCACAGGAAATCGGAGCATCACCAGGACAGCACTGAGTGCAGACTGACACGTGTGGGCTGCAGCCCCTTGCCACCCCGCTTTGTCCCCCGCTGTCCCTGCACTGGCCCAAATGGTGTTTCTCAGGAGTGCCAGATGTTCATAAATCCACCCTCCTTTTCCCTAAAGTTTATCAATCAGCAGATGTTGCTTATTCTGCCAAAAGCCCAAAGTCATTAGTAAAATTTCTTTCTAGCTTCCTCAGCTGTGCTGACCTTATCACAGTGGTACCCTGCAGAAACCCTCTGAAATGGAGTGTTTTCCAGGATATGTGTGGGTGCATACACACACATAATATAT